GAATCAGTCCCGTTGCTGTGCTAACGAGGAGCATTTGGAAATGGAAAATAAAAGCACAGTGTCCTTTAGGACAAAGGAAATGAAATGCTTTAGCACAAATGTAACAAAACACAGGCAGGATGCACAGGCTGACAATCACAAAATGACGGTCAGAGATGACCTTCTAAACCAGCGGTTCTCAACCTGTGGGTCGCGACCCCTTTGGGGGTCGAACGACCCTTTCACAGGGGTCGCCTAAGACCATCGGAAAACACACATATAATTACATATTGTTTTTGTGATTCATCACTATGCTTTAATTATGTTCAATTTGTAACAATGAAAATACATCCTGCATATCAGATATTTACACGACGATTCATAACAGTAGCAACATTACAGTTATGAAGTAGCCACGAAAATAATTGTATGGTTGGGGGTCACCACAGCATGAGGAACTGTATTACAGGGTCGCGGCATCAGGAAGGTTGAGAACCGCTGTAAATGAAGACATACCATGTTCATGGACTGTAAGACTCACCACAACAGAGACGTCTATTCTCTCCAAATTGATCTGTAGTTTTAATAAAATTGCTATAAAAATCCAAGCTAAGTTTTTTTTATAGACACAGACAAACTTACTCTAAAACTTATAAGGAAAGGCACAGTCCCAGGAATAACTAAGAAATCTTGAAATTGTTTTCATCTATATTAAGGCCTACTATATGGCTAGAGTAATCAACACAGTGTGATGCTGGCAGAGGAGAGACAGACAGATCAGTGGGTGGAACAGAGAGCCCAGAAATAGAACCATACTGATTTTTTAAAAAAATTTAAGTTATTGATTTTTTAGAGAGAGAGAGAGAGAGAAAGGGGGGGGGGAGATGAAGAAACTTTGATTTTTTTTTTTTGTTCCATTCATTTATTCCTTCCTTGGTTGATTCTTCTGTGTGCCCTGACTGGGGACTCAACCAGCAACCATGCCCTATCGCAGGGGTCCTCAAACTACGGCCCGCAGGCCACATGCAAATACAAATATTGTATTTGTCCCCTTTTTGTTTGTTTACTTCAAAATAAGATATGTACAGTGTGCATAGGAATTTGTTCATAGTTTTTTTTAAAACTATAGTCCGGCCCTCCAACGGTCTGAGGGACAGTGAACTGGCCCCCTGTTTAAAAAGTTTGAGGACCCCTGACCTATCGGGACAATGCTCCAACCAACTGCGCTGCCCGGCCAGGGCCGACCCCACTGATTTTTGACTAAACGTGCAAAAGCAAGTCAATGGAAGAAAGACAGTCTTTTCAACAGATGTTGCTGAAACAATTTAATATACATAAGCCAAAAAAAAAGGAAAAGGAAAGAAAAAAAAAACTCTTCACCTTATACAAAATGTATCAGGGACTTAAATGTAAAACTATAAAACCTTTAGAAAAAAAATAGGAAATCTTTGGGATCTATGGCTAGATGAAGTGTTTTGACACCTGACATCAAAAGCATGAGCCATAAAGGGAAAAACTGATGAAATGAGCCTCATTAAAAGGGAAAACTTGGCTCCCTGAAAGTCGAGTGGATGAAAAGTCACCCTAGACCAGAGGTTCTCAACCTGTGGGTGGTGACCCCTTTCGCGGTCGAACGACCCTTTCACAGGGGTCGCCTAAGACCATCCTGCATATCAGATATTTACATGACGATTCATAACAGTAGCAACATTACAGTTATGAAGTAGCCACGAAAATAATGTTATGGTTGGGTCACAACATGAGGAGCTGTATTTAAAGGGCCAGAAGGTTGAGAACCGATGCAGACAGACCGGGAGAAAATACTTGCAAACCACGTATCTGAGCTCACGGAAAGGCGTTCAGCACTGCGACCCACGAGGGCAATGTGGTCGGTCACACAGCAGTGCGGCGCTCACACCGACAGACGCCGGGACCGAAGAGGCGACACCGCCAGCGCTGGCGGGCGTGTGGATGGGGCTCACTGCCACAGGGCCAGTGAGGGTGTGAGACAGGGCGCCCACTTTGCAAATAGTGTCCTCACAAAGCTGGACACGCAGCCCGGCCGCATGGCTCGGTGGTTGAGTGCTGACCTATGAACCAGGAGGTCAAGGTTTTGTTTTTTGATTCCCAGTCAGAGCACGTGCCTGGGTTGTGGGCTTGATCCCCAGTCGGGGGCATGCAGGAGGCCGCCGATCCATGATTCTCTCATCATGGATGTTTCTCTCTCCCTTTCCCTTCCTCTTTAAAATCAATAAAAAAAATATTAAAAAAAAATCAATGGAAAAATATCCCTGGGTGAGGACTAACAAAATAAATAAATAAGTAAAAGGAAAAAGAAAATCACAAAAAACCTAAAAAACAAAACTGAACATGCAGCTACCATACAACTGACCAATTTTATCCCGGATACACGAAAACTGATGCACATACCAAAACATGTACAGAAGTGATCATAGGTTTGCTCATACGAGACAGAAACGGGAAAGGACCCAGATGTTCCCCGACAGGTAAGTGGTGCACTGTGGTAAATCCACACCACGGATGCTGCTCGGCAATCAAAAAGCAGAAACGACTGGTGACTGACACATGAAACCACGTGGCTGAATCCCCAGGGAGATAAGCTGAGTGCTAAAAGCCAATTCCAAAAGATCACATTTTGCCTGCTTTGCGTATATAATATTCTTGAAGTGGCAGAAGCATACAATCGAGAGCAGACAGGTCAGTGCCAGGGCAGGGAGTGGCTATAAAAGGCAACAGGAGGCGCCCTTAAGGTGATGGAATGTTCTGTACCTTTCCCCACGTCAACATCCCGGCTGCAACGCTGCACGGCAGTTTCGCAAGATGCTTCCACGGAGGCTGACCAGGTGGAGGGGACATGATGTCTGTATTATTTCTTACAACTGCATAGGACTGTGATTATCTCAAAATTAAAAGTAAAAAAAAAAAAAAAGACCAGGTTCCCAGCTCTGCCACCTACTAATTAGGTAACTGACCTTGAATTTAACCCAGGATCTCCAAATTCTCCTGGCTAAATGGCACAGAGCCATCGGAAGTGCCATGGGAGGTGAATGCGGGTGTGCGCGCCTGGCGATGAGCAGGCGCGCGGCTAGCGCTTTACAAACAGCACAAATACTGTTCTGAACAGCGCCATTCCACTGTCCCCCAGTGAAGCCACCCCACGCCTCTCCCGAGGGATCTGTCCTAACGAGCTACTGAAATAGTCACAAGAAATGAAGTGAGCTTCACACTACGAACTGCAATTAGTGAAAATCGTGGGAAGGAAACTGGGTGCTGGTTCAACAAGCCCCTGTCTGTTGCTAAGTCGGTGAGGTCCATGTTTCTATGCATCGGGAAAAGCTTAAGACCGAGTTTTCTAAAACACATTTCCACACTGTTCCAAACGAAGGTTCCGTGTTTTCCAAAATATCTTCTCTGCCTCTCGAGTTAAAGAAACGAGGAGACGGTCGGCCGAATCTTTGTGCCCGGCTTGGAGGCCAGAAAAGCAGCAGAAAGCAGTGCTGGCCAGGGCCACAGAAAGACAATCAAGTGCACTTTACCCCAGAGGCCGAGGGGAATTTCAAACACACGGCGTCCGGGAATCGCCCCGGGCACCGGCCTCGGAGGGCTGGGCCGCTGGCTCACCAGGGGCTTTGGAGAGGCTTTGGAAAGAGGTGAAGAGGGGAGGGGAGGTTTTACCACGCAGGTCGCTCTATCCCGATCCCAAAAGGGCTATTTCTACGACAGTGAAAGATTTCAGTAACAGACGCATCACGTGGGAATGCGGGCGCGGGACTCCGGATGCGGGCCTGGACGCTGGCAGCCCAGGGTCCCAGGATCCCAGCACCCAGGCCCCGGCGAGGAGGCCCTAGCCGGCCAAGGCCAGAGCTTCCTGGGGGTGAGGAGGGAACTGTGCGGGAGGGGAGGGAGCTACCCCCCTGGCTAACTTTAAGTCCCTCGGGCACACGAACCTCGCCTCCAGGCCGTGGCCTCTACCTCGGCTTCCAGACAACCCTCCTCAACCTCTAATTTGGTTCCCACCACCAGGCCCGGGGAGGGCGGTGAGGGGACAGGCAGGGGAGATGAGAACCTGAAACCAGGGAAATGGGCATCCAGGGGCAGTCCCGGGCGGGTCCCCCAGACCCTGCGCACACAGGCTAGGGAGCCACCGGGACCAGGCTCTGTCCATCTACAGGTTTTTTGTTTCCCCCCAATAAATTGTAAGGAGTAGAATCGGAGCAAGAGACAGCGGAGAACCTGGGGCACCGGCACCTAAGACGCGTATGAGAGGGAGGCGATTGTATCCGGACGCAAACAAACAAAGCAACTTGGTGCGCGGAGGGGGTGGGAACAGGCTGGTACCCGAGATGCGTGCGAGGGGTCGTGGGTTCCCGGCTGATGAGGGGAGACGTGCGCTCAAGCTCGGTCTCACCCGACGGCACCCCGCAGGGCAGCAGGGGCCCAGGTGGACGCTGGCCCGGAGACGTCCAGGCGCCCCCTGTCCTCCCAGGTACACGGCTGACCTTTTCCGGATAAACACTCGGAACCGGAGGCTGTGGCCCGTTCCTCCCGCGTTCCCGGCGCTCGTCTACGCCCACCGGGAGGGCAGGGCAGGGCAGGCTCCCCGGCTGGACCGGGCACCGCGCCGCTGCCATCGCGGAGGGGCGCGCCCTCGCCCGGGTCCGGGGGCCTCCCCACCGCTGAGACCCCTCCCCGCCGGCGCCCAAAGCTGGCCGGCCTCTCGCTCCCACCGCGCCCAGGCCCTTACGGGGGCAGGGCGGGAGCGAAGGCCGCCACGCCGCCGGGCACACGGGGCGCGCATCCTTGGCCCGCTCCCCGCAGCGGGGGGCACGTGGCCGCAGGCAGGGGGCGGTGCCCGCGCCTGGGGGCGGCCCGGGGCAGGAGGGGGTCCCGGCGGGGGTCCGGGGGCCGCACCTGCGCGCACTGGGCACACCTGGGCGCACCTGGGCGCACCTGGACGCACCTGGGCGCACCTGGGCGCACCTGGACACACTTGGACGCACCTGGGCGCACCTGGGCGCAGGTGTGCGGGGGCGCGGCGACGCACGCACCTTGAGGATGTTGTCGAAGATGGTGTCGCGGAACTCGAGCAGCGCCTTCTGGTCGAACTCGCGGCCGTGGATGATGCGCATCTGCTTGAGGAAGGTGGACTTGCCGCTCTCGCCCGCGCCCAGCAGCAGGATCTTGACCAGACGCCGCACGGCGCGCCGCTCGCGGGCCAGCCCCGCGTCGATGTCCCGGCTGCGCCGCCGCGCCTCGCGCTCCGCGTCGCGGGCCCCGCTGCCTCCCGCCCTGCGCTCGCGGCCCCCGCCGGCCTCGGCCGGCAGCAGGCAGCGGCTGAGGGTCCGCACCACGCCGGACATGGCCGCTCAGGCCATGGACCCCGCCGCGGGCGAGGCGAGCCCCGCGCGGCAGCCGGCCGCTCCCTCAGGCCGCGTCCGCCGCCGCCGCCGCCCGGAGGCCCGCTCTCGCCCGCCGCTTGGCCCCGGCGGAGGGGCGGGGCGACGCGGCCCGGGGCCCGGGGATTGGTCAGGCTGCCTCCCATACGGACGAACGCGCCCTTCGATTGGTCCGTGCCACGCCGAAAGGCGGGCATCCCTCCGGCTTTTGGGGCGTGGTCGGAGCCGAAAGAGGCGGGACCTTGGGGGTGGAGGCGCTTTTCATTGGACGCTCGGGCTGAGGTTCTTTCTTTCAGAATGAAAGGGAGGCGGGGTCGTCGGGGAGGCGGAGTGGTCGTCCGCCATGACCAATTATAATTGCTCCGGGAGCACGTCAATCACGGAGAAAGTGTCTGGGATTGGGGGTTTTGCGAAAGGGGGCGGGACCAGAAGTGCCAGGTGTACAAAAAGTCGCCCTGGATTCCCAGATGGTACCAACCTGTGAGACCTGGGGCTCTGCACTTTGCGCTCCGTGTTGCCCGAAAGCTGGGAAATGCCGATGGGAGGTTCACCTGCCGCTCGACCTGTGTTTAGGGAGGCAGCTGTTTAAACCATTTTCCTTCCAGGAACGGGGAGGGGGATGGGCCATACATTTCAGACAAATGCGCCCTTTGAGAGCCGCCTGGGCTCTGGCTGCTTCCCCAGAGCTGGCGAACCAACCACCAGAATCACCGCAGTGACTGAGCGCGGAGCCTGGCGCTGCTGGGTCAGAGCTGGAACCTGCACTGGACCCCGTGCCAGTTGACCAGTCGAATAACCTCTTCAGCAGCCCCTCCTCCTCCCCCACCTGTTTTGTTTTAAGTTTATGTTATTGATTATTGTTATTGATTGATTATTGTTATTGTTATTGATTTTTGAGAGAGAGGGAGGGAGAGACAGAAACATCACTGATGGGCTGCCTCCTGCACAGCCCCTACCTGAGACCAGGCCTGCAACCCGGCACGTGCCCTGCGGGGGAATTGAACCAGTGACCTCGGGGTTGGTCGACACTCCACCCACTGGGCTACACCGGATGGTAGCACCTGCCGCACATGGCTTGAAGCGTAAACAGAACATGAACTTGCACAACCCGGAGCCCGGTGCCCCGACCCAAGTTCGCTCCTGCGAAGCGTTGGCCCATCTTCTTTCCGAGTCTTCGTGTGAGTCAAGCTCCTGAGAAACGCAGCGTCTCCTCCCCTCCAGGCGGCGGGCCGGATTTGGGAGCCCAGGTCTGTTAAAAGATAAGCTGAGGCGCATTCAGCATTTGAAGGGTTGTTCGTGGCTGGTTGTCCTTCGCGTTCTGATCTTGTAACCTGGAGGCATTCACAAGCAGAGATTCTGGTTTTCCTACCAAGGCCGCCTCAGCCTCGGGCCGCCTTGTTGGATTAATTGAATGGGCCTGAAAGATCATCCTGTCCACCCCCCTCGCCATGAGCAGGTGTGTGACGAGGTTCCATCATGGGCCGTTAGAACCCTGCCCTCTCCACCCTGCGCTCACTGCACGGCGAGGTGGGAGCGCCAGGAAACGTTAGCGGGTGTGATCTCACGCGGTTGTACAGGTGCTTTTTGCATAGTTATGAAAATGCCAGGTGCTGAGGGCTGCGGGAGAGGAATCTGAAGACAGATAAAATGCAACCTTTGAATCAAGAAACTTACAACTCAGCCCTCGCCAGTTTGGTTCAGTGGAGAGAGCATCGGCCTGCGGACTGAAGGGTCCGGGGTTCCATTCTGGTCAAGGGCATGTACCTCGGTTGCAGTCTCCTCCCTGGCCCGGGCCCTGGTCAGGGCTCCTGCAGGAGTCAGCCCATCACTGTGTCTTCCTCACACCGATATTTCTCTCTGTCTTTCCCTCTCTCTTCCGCTCTCTTGAAAAATCAATGGAAAAATGTCCTTGGGAGAGGATTCAAAACAAAAAGAAAGAAATGCATACTTCAGTTCGGGCACCAGACCGCACAAGTCACAGGCACGTGCGGATGGGTGAGTCCCTAGTTCCTGCCCGAGAACCGAGAATTAGTGTCAACACCTTCTGCAGTCCTTTGTCATCCTTCAAAGTGACGGGGAAAGTTCAGTTTCTTTGTGAAAATGGCCTGCCACAGGAAAGGTAAACGCTAAACGCTGGCTGTCTGAGAGAACAAAGGGAGAGTGCAGAGGCCTCGAGGCCGCGTTTCTTAGAAAGAAATCGGAAATGTTGGACAACCGAGGAGGGGACTGTGGAATTCAGCAATGGGCCAGCGTTAGCCCCTCACTCAGCTGAAGGAAGTGAAGAGGATTCAGAAAACGCTTTGAGCAGAGGCAAGAAAGAACCAGAGACCACATCTGAAAACGAAAGCTAGAATGACCGAAGTCTATAGAAACGGAATAGACATATTAAGGTGCAGACTCGGACACAGGTGAAGAGAATGCACTGAAATACAGATCTGAAAATAATTACCCGGAATCCAATATAAAGATAGAGAGGCTAAGAGACAGGAAAGATAGAGGAGGAGGAATCGCTAACATATAATTACCCAGACTTCCAGAAGGGACACGGAGAATGGGGAAGAGGCAATATTGGATGTGACAGTGGCCGGGCATTTTAAATGGACAAATGACACAAAATGCTTAGTGGGTCAAAAAGGGAACCCAGACCAAGATACACCACAGCAAAACTGCAAGGGCATCAAAGACAAAGAGGAGATCTTAAAAGCAGCTGGAGAGAAAATAACAGCGACTATACTTTAAAATTTTTTTTCATTTTTATTAATTTCAGAGAGGAAGGGAGAGGGAAAGAGATAGAAACTTCAATGATGCTGATGAGCTGCCTCCTGCATGCCCCACACTAAAGATGGAGCCCATAAGCCGGGCATGTGTCCCAACCGGGAATTGAACCTTGACCTCCTGGTTCAAAGGTCGACACTCAACCACTGAGCCGCGCCGGCCGGGCAATAATGGCTACTATTGATATAATAGCTCCTGGGTGCAGGGCCCTACGCCAAGCACGTTGCGCAAGCTTCCCATGTAACCCTCAGAGGAACCACCTACACGCAGGGCTGATAGCTCCGTGACAAAAGTGGGAGCCAGATGGGAGACCACATCCTAAGACCACTGAGAGAAAATAACCACTAACCAAGAATTGTAAACACAGTCAAATAGCTTTCAAGACAATGGAGAGCCCAGCTGGTTGGCTCAGTGGATGAGCGTCAACCCATAAACCAGAAAGTCACCGTTTGACTCCCGGTCAGGGCACATGCCTGGGTTGCAGGCTCGATCCCCAGTAGGAGGCAGCTGATCCATGATTCTCTCTCATTGATGTTCCTATCTCTCTCTCTCTCTCTCCCTCTCCCCTTCCTCTCTCTGAAATTAATAAAAAATCTATAAAAAAAGAAAAAAAATGGAGAAAATGAGGACATTTCAAACAGATAAAAACAGATTATTTTATCTAGTGTGTGTAAAGGGCTGAATTGCGCCTCCTTTCCCAAATTCATAGTTGGAAGCCCTAACCCCCAGCACCTCACAAGGTCACTGTATTTGGAGACAGGACTTTAACGAAGCGGTGAAGTTACAACGAGGTCACTAGGGTGGGCCTCGATCCTATATGATTGGTGTCCTCATAAGAAAAGGAAACGTGAACGCAGACCCGGGCAGAAGGTAGACCATGTGAGGTCGTCGGGGAGGATGGCCGTCTACAAGCGCGAGAGCGGGCAAGGCTGCGGGAGAAACCGACCCGGCCGACGCCTGGACCCTGGGCTTCCAGCCTCCAGATTTGTCAGAAAACGAAGTCCTGTTGCTACACCACCCGTCCTGGGGCGCTTCGTTCCGTCGGCCCTGGCGGCCTGACACGGGTGCCTCGGGAGCGTCGTCTCACAAGGGAGGTCTGCCATACCGAAGGGACAGCGGCGACTCTGTGGACAGACAGGGAGCTCTTACTGACCGCGTCAAACACGGATCGTTTTCATGCGTGGAGTTAAGGCAAAACAGAATTAAAATAATAGGACACAAAAGGCATGGACATGTCAGGAGGGGACGTCCATGATGAGAGCGCTCTAAGATCTTTGAATTATTTACGAGGACAATAAATATTTTGATTAACGTTCAACTTTGTCGAGTTACACAGTCACGTTAAAATGTTTAGCGTAAACACGAAAAGAAGAGGCATAGAGTGAGCGGGTGCCACGTGAGCGGAGGGGCGAGTGGGATGAGGGAGCGGAAATCAATCAGTGCGCAGAACGCAAAAACAAAGAGAACAGAGCAGCCTGAGCAAAAGGGGAAGGTGGCCATGAACCCCAAGCCATGGCTCACCACGGTCGATGCAAACGGGCTACGGCTGAAAGATGAAGACGGCAGGCTAGGGAAATGAAAACCAGGATCAGCTACCTGCTCAGGAAGGACACACCTGCCGATCCAGGAAAGATCCACGTGAAAGAAAGAGTGGGGAGGGATTTACCAGGCAAACGGCAGCCGCAGGCCGCCTGGCGCATCGACGTGAACAGGAGACAACACAGATGTTAAGGCCAAAGCTAGACTAGCGATAGAGTCCTTTCAGGCGGGGAAAGACTTATTCGCCGGTAAGAGGTAACGTGTCTAAACTCTCACGCAGCTAATTACATGGCCTCCAACGCTGAAGGCAAAGAAGTTGGCAAACCTCAAGGAGGCACTGAAGACTCGGCCGTCACGCGGGGGTGCGGGTGCGGGTGGCACACCCTTCTCGTGCAGCAGTGAACAAGCTTGACCTACTGAATACACGCTAAGCCGTGAACCCCATAATTAGAGAATACACGTCCTGTTGAAATCCAAGGGACATTTTTTAAAAAAATTGACCACAGAAGCCCTGGCTGGTGTAGCTAAATGGTTAGAGCATCAGTCTGCGCACTGAAGGGCCACAGGTTCAATTCCTGGTCAAGGGCATGTACCTGGGTTTCAGGCTCGCTCCCCAGGGGTGAGAGGCAACCAATTGACGTGTCTCTCTCAGGTCGATGTTTTTATTCCTCTCTCCCCTCCTCCTCCTCACTCCCTCCCTTCCACTCTCTCTCTGAAAAGCAACTGGAAAAATACCCTCAGGTGAGGATTAACAGCAACACAAACTGACCACAGAATCGGCC